CCGCGTTCCCGCCAGTTCCCGCAGGTCCCTCGGGGCGCCGCGTGTCCCCAGTTAGGCCCGGCCACAGGAGCTGGGCTGCCGAAGCCGGGCTGCTTTTTGCCCCTCCTTTATTTTTTATTTTTTGGCTGCACTTCCAGAGAGACCTTGTGATTCTCTCCTCTGTGGAGCGCTGACATGCCTCCTGAGCATTTTCGGCAAGGTTGCACCTCCAAATCCCCAAGAGGAAGCACTCGATCAGGCTGATGTCTGCCTGCGTCCACGATCGTGTTGCTCTGGCTTGAGGACTTCCGAGGTTCTATTTTTAGCTGTCTCCTTTTCTCGGTGCACAACTGCAGGCAAGCTGTACCTGTCTGGCTCTGGTTCCCCGTGCGATGCTCCCTGCTGTTCTTGGGTGACCTGGGGTTCCCATCCTGACCCGCACTGTGCGCCAGTGCTCATAGTAAGCGGTCAGCCTTGGGGCGCATTTGGAGTGGTACGGGGACAGTACTCCCCAGGAAAGCTCCATGAAGTAGATACTGGTAGTCCCATTCTTTCAGTGAGGATATTGAGTTAGAGTGATTAAGTTACCTACCCAAGTCAGGTCACACAGGAAGGAGCAGGAATGTGAACCAAAGTGATGTGACTCTAGAGCCCTCTGACTTGACCATTTTACACTGAATCTCTTATCTGACAATGGAGCCCATGGAGGGGAGGTACTCCAGCTCATGGCGATCCATTTGAAAGGCAGAAATGGGCCTGGATAAATTAACGGGAATCAATATGACTACTCTTTAGAGTTACCTCTTGAGCTCATATAGTTTCTTGAACTGGAGAGCCATGTCTACATTTGACATCTCCATTTGGATATCTAATAGGCACATCTGACATCATGTCCAAAACAAAATCTTTATCCTAGCTTCCTGCTCAGACCTGCCCATACCACAGTCATTGTCCCTTTATACTAAGTGGTAGGTCCATTTTTTGAATTCCTCAGATAGAAAACTCTGAAGTCACCCCTGGTTCCTCCTATAAATCAACAGTAAATCCTATTAGTTATACCTTAAAAGTATTTCCAGAGAGTGATGACATCTCACTACCAACTTGGGCTTCCTTTACTTCCACCCCTAATACCTCTCTACCCTTCTCTCTACCACTCTCTCCCTGACTTGCTGTTCTCTGGATGCTCAGGTTTTCTCAGTATTCTTGAGTGAGCCATGTACTCCCTCCTTTTAGCCTTTTTTTCCTAATGGTTCATCTGCCTGCAACTGTTTCCCCCAAATACACCCATGACTTTCTCCTTTATCTCCAGATTTTTACTCATTTATGTTACTTTATTATTAAGAACTTATCTGGCTACCTACCTTAAATTGTACTCACATTTTCTATTCCCTTTAGCCTGCTTTACTTTATTCTACAGCACTTATCCCCACCCAGCATGCTAGTTTTACCTGGTTGTTTGACTCCACTAGAATATGAGCTCCATGAGGGCAGAAATGTTTGTTATGTTCATTGGTGGACCTCCTGCATCTAGAACAGCCCTTGGCACAGAGTAGGTGTCCAAAAGATGTTTGGTGAATTAATGAGTTGATGAGTTCATTAGTGAATCCTTATTGTGAGGATTACCTTTGAGCATAAAGAAAATTATGGTTTGCTGTTTTCCAGGGGTTACTGCTTATTGCATAGTACACATAAACTATCCATTATAAGTTGCATATTAAATGGACATATGTAAAATAAATGAATGGAATATTTTGTGCTAATTTTTTTTTTCAATAAATGCCACACCATTTCATCTTGACACTAGTGACAGTCATTCTGAGGAGATCAGGTTTTAGTAGATCTCTGAACCTCAGATATCCCTACCATCCTTCAATCGGTCTCTGTAATGTTTCTTGAAGAATCCATTTCTGTTTTTAGCATGTATGGCCACCTAGGATGTTTGATGTCTCATCCACTAGGTAAAGTAGGACTTCCTTGCCAGTGTATTTTGAAACTATGGGGACTGCCTTATAGCCATGCTCTCCCTCTCGCTGTTTAAGCTCCTAACAGCTTCTTGGCTTCTGCCTTTCCAAGCTGGGAACCTAAGTTGGTCCATCCTCATATCCAAGTTCCTCCTTATCCATTCTGTCTCTGTACTTGGACTTTTCCCATCTGTGTGTCAGTCTGAAGGACTGGCTGTCCAGTCTGGTTGGGTATCAGAATCACCTGGGGAGTTTTTCTTAAAAGTACAGGTACCCAGTTCCCACACCCTATAGATTCTGATCCTGTGAAGGATTTCCAGATGGCCTGAATGTCTGACAGAGAGCAGCAGCACAGGTGACTCTGATAATACAGCTAGCTGGTGTTGAGAAGCGCTGGTTTCAGCAAATCAGGTTAGCTATGCTGTGTGCAGGGAAACTCAGCTGTGTGTCCAGGACTGCATCCTGTTGGCTCTTGTTGCATGGTGATCTTCTCACTCGAAGAGACAGCAGTTCTCACATTCCTTTCTTGGTAGTCCTGTGGTCTGTAACTTTAAAAATTTACTTGGAATACGTCTTTCTTAAGAGTGTGTGTGTGTTTTACATTTGAGTCCAAGAATATTCTCCCCCCCCCCCCGAATTTTCCTCATTGTATCTCCCAAACTTGTTAATCATGCTGTTTCTTGAGTTCTTTGACATTGTGAACTGAGTCAGGTGTTGAAGTTAGAGTTTTTTTCCCAGGGTGAGCAAAGTACATTTGAAACATAGAATATTTTGGAGTCTAGATTTTAGCATTAAAGGTGACATTTTCTTTCTGGCCTGTAGATGTGTATTGTATAGTGGAAACCTAGGAGACAGTATAAGGCAAGGTTTTCAACTTTGGCACTGTTGACATTTGGGGCTGGATAAACCTGTTGGGAAGAGGGCTGTCCTGTACATGTATGTTTGGCAGCATAGTAGTATCCCCAAACCTACTCACTAGATGCTTGTAACACACCTCCTACTGTAGGGGTGATAATAACCAAAAATGTCTCCACACCCAGCCTCCCATCCAGTCAGGAAACAGTGCACAACAGCCCCAGCAGAGACTCACTGGTGTAAAGTGACAGTGGCATGAGCTCTGCCCTGCAGAGAACTGGGCTTGTCTTTGGGCTCCACGTGGACGCTCCTGCTGGGAGGCTGGTTTTCTCACCAGTGAAATGGGCGCGAAGAGCATCCTGCTCCCTCAAGGTGGCTGTGAGGACTGATGAAGTAAGGCACAGGAGGGACTGAGCACGATCACAGGGACACACCCTCTCAAGTGGCGACTGTCTCCCTGCAGCAAGTTGTGTCTTGCCCACGTGGGGGTCAGGTACCCAGCAAGGCATGGGTCTGAGCCGTGCAGTCGAGTCCACCCCACTCAGATGGCCCCAGGGGAGCTGTGGTGGGACACCAGGAGGAGCGGCCATTGGTCTTCCCGAGTCCCTCTGCCTTATGTGACATCCAGGTTGGGGTTTCTCAGCCTCGGCACAGTGGACATCTGAGAGCGGGTCCTTCACTGTGGTGGGGACCCCCTGTACACTCCAGGCTCTTGATCACTACCCGGGCCTCTGCCCACTAGATGGGTGCTCGTGGCACATCCTGCCTGCGTCCAGTTCTGACAGCCGCAATGTCAGCAGACATTTCCCAGTATCCCTTGGGGGTCAAAGTTGTCCTAATCTATCCTGACCAAGTGAGAGTTGGGAGATTTTCAGGGGTGGTTTATCTTTTCTCAGTTTGTATCTTTATTGTTGACTTGGGGGATTAGATGCAACTGAATTTTTAAATTCGAACTCAAATAGTAAAAATTTTCAGTTCACACAATTTTTGTCATCTCCTTTCCTGCTCTAAACATAATTTTTAGAATAAGGAGAAAACAAGTGTTTGAAAATCATCATGGATTTATGACAAAAGTGAACTCTGGCATTTGTCCTGTGGACTCAGTTGTGCCTTCTGTCTCATCTCTGTAGCAGAGACCACCTGGGGGTAGGGGTAGCCAAGGAGAGTCATAACAGCCTAGAGGCCTTTGAAGAAAGTTTAAGTTTTCCCAGGGGACTCATGTGTAGACAAGAGAAGCTTATGGTTCTATAAAACCTTTAACCAAAGCCTGCTTCTTGGATTCCTGGACTGTGGAATGACCTCAGCAGTGTTGTTAGCCTTGGGCATTTGCTGGCATTAGGCTAGACAGGATCCTTGTGCAGAAGCTCTGGGTGTGTGTCTGTGCTCAGCAGGGCTTGGAGTGAGTGGAGGCAGCAAGCGTCATTCCACATGAGCTTGGAATGGAGCTTGGAGGAGAGCCAGTTGTTTGGGGCTGGGAAGGGAACACTTTAGGTACAGGTTGAATGCTGGCCTAGCGAGTTTAGACACAATATAGGCCTGGGATAAAAGAAGTGAGATTGGTTGCATTGTCAGGGCATCTGAGAAGGGAACACAATAAGGAGGATGCAAGAAAGGCAGAAGTGGCCAGTGTTGACTTTGCTGTAGTTTCGGCAGCTCTCCATGGTA